CTGGTATGGAAACTAAATATGTGATACAGTATAATAAACATATAGATTACAGATTGAATGAATCCTAAAATCATGGTCTCATTGATTGCTGATCACGTGGTAACAGCTGGAGATGCAGTTGCCTTAACATGCCCCCGCAAGATGGAGGTTCCATCAGCAACACCAATCTTGGAATGCAAACTAGAGAAGCGAGCAGTAGACAGAGCCTTGGTAAGGCCATCAGCAAGCTGATCATGAGAAGAAATGTGAGAAACATGAAGGACATTCTTCTCGACTAGATCCCGAACAAAGTGTAAATCAACAGCGATATGTTTCATCCGAGAGTGAAGAACGGGATTGAGACTCAAGTAAGTGGCACCAATATTATCACAAAATAGAGCAGGAGAGCCAAGACCAGAAACTCCAAGTTCTGATAGTAGATTGTGAATCCAAACCAGTTCAAAAGCAGCAGATGCCAAGGCGCGATATTCAGCCTCTGTGGAGCTCCGAGCGACGGCCTTCTGTTTGGTAGCGCGCCAAGAAATGGGATTCGAGCCAAGGAAGACCAAATAACCAGTGGTACTAACACAGGTAGAGCGATTGCCAGCCCAGTCGGCATTGGAGTAAGCATGCAAGGATAGAGCACTCTGAGGTCGTAACAATACCCCATGAAATCGGGTCCCTTGCAAGTAGCGGAGAACACGTTTAGCCGCCTGCCAGTGAGCGTCAGTGGGCTGATGCATAAATTGAGATAGCTTATTCACGGCAAAGCAGAGATCTAGACGAGTGAGCGCAAGATATTGTAGGGATCCAAGAAGCCGCCGGTAAATAGAACCATCAGAAAGAGGTGAACCAGAACCAAGATGCAACGAAGTGGAAGCAGCAAGAGGGGTGGGCACAGGCTTGGCCTCATGCATGTTATACTGCTGGAGAAGATCAGTAATGTATCGATGTTGGGATAAGAAAAGACCAGCAGCAGTGGGAATTGCTTCAACACCGAGGAAAAAATTGAGAGGCCCCAAATCCTTTAAGGAGAAACGAGCTCCCATGATCTGAATAAGAGACTGAACAGCAGAAGAGTCACTTCCTGTAATTATAATATCATCAACATAGACAAGAAAATAAATGCAAGTAGACCCTTTGTGAAGAATAAATAGAGACGAGTTTGACTTAGATTGAGAGAAGCCTTGAGAGATAATAAAGCTTTTAAGCTCAGTAAACCATGCTTGGGGAGCTTGCTTCAGGCCATATATAGACTTCCGCAATTTGCACACATGCTGAGGGAAACGAGGATCAACAAACCCTGTTGGTTGCTTCATAAACAATTGTTCCTCAAGATGATCATGTAAAAAGGCATTATTAATATCCAATTGCCAGATAACCCACTGCTGGCTCACTGCAATAGATAAAACAGTACGAATAGTAGTAGGTTTAATAACAGGACTAAAGGTGTTGAAATAGTCAGATCCCGGACGTTGATGAAAGCCTTTGGCAACCAAGCGAGCCTTATAACGCTTAATACGACCATCTGGAGCTCGTTTTAAATGAAACACCCATTTATAACCAATTAAATGATGATCAGGAGATGGAGGAACAAGTTCCCACGTACCTTGACGCACAAGAGCACTAAATTCTTCAGACATAGCCCGTCTCCAATCGGGATCTTTCAGAGCTTGTGTCATACAAGTGGGTTCACTTAGGGGTGCAGGACACTGGGACACAGCTTGGAAAAGGATTTTGGGTTTAAAAATATTATTCAAGGAGCGAGTGCGCATGTGGTGCAACCGGGTAAGAGGATTTGGGCGAGCCACACTACTTGGGGCTTGGGTAGGGGAAGCAGAAGGTTTTGAGACTTGGACTGGGGATAAGGAGGTGTGATGAGGAGTGGAATGAGCTGAGGATGTGGGGTTGGGGGAGGTGGATTGGGTGGGTAGGTGGGGTGGTACCGGAATCGGTGATGGGATTGATGAAGGAGAAGCTGCAGGAAGAGGCACCTCGTGAGCCACCAATTCATGGGGAGCACCAGTAGGAGAGGCAAGTGACGATGGCGAATTACTAAGATCAGGACCAGAGGTAGAGGTATATGATGACTCATTGGCATGTAAAAAGGTAGAGGGTAAAATAGGGACAGTGGACTGAGATTTGTGAGGAAAGGTAGACTCGTCAAACACCACATGGTGGGAGAAAAACAATTTTCTAGAACTCAAATCCAAGCATTTGTAACCCAAGTTATCTATAGAATATCCTAAAAATAAACAGGGACGAGAATGATATTGTAATTTGTTGGAATTATAAGGTCGAAGCCATGGATAACACAAGCACCCAAAAAACATGAAGTTTACAAAAATTGGGACGAACATGAAATAGTTTTTCAAACGGAGAAATTTTTGAAATGGAGGATGGGAGTCTACTAAGTAAGTAGACAGATGTTTGAAAAGCATGAGTCCAAAACTTGGGTGGAAGGGAGGCAGTATGAAGCAACGCAAGACCAGTCTCAACAATGTGACGATTGCATCGTTCACTGATGCCATTGAGTTCTGGGGTATAAGGAGGGGTGATAAAATGAGAGATCCCTGTGGTAGAGAGAAAGGGACGAAGGGCAACATATTTGCCCTCGCCATCAGTATGTAAGTTTTTGATTTTGCACCCAAATTGAGTTTCAACAAGATCTTTAAATCGTGGAAAAATAAGAGACACATCAGACTTACGTTTAATGGGATAAAGCCACACATATCGACTAAAAAAGTCAATAAATAAGACAAAATAATTAAAACCATCAACGGAGGGAACAGGCGCAGGACCCCATACATCAGAAAAAATATTATCAAGTGGAAAGTGACTGGTAATGGAAGAATTCGAAAAAGGAAGTTTGTGACTTTTGGAACAATCACAAGGTTCACATAATGAAAACTCTATTTTATTCGATAATGGTAAATTGGAGACATTAGTAATTTGTTTAAGGGTCTTTATAGAAGGATGACCTAAGCGTAAATGCCAAATCGCCAAAGAAGTACGCTCTCTCACTAGTGCTGTTGGTTTGGAGCTAATTTTTCCCGGTATTTGATAAATCCCATGAATGGTTGGCCCTCGGAGTAGTGTCTCGTTTGTGCAGCAATCCTTCACCAAAAAATAATTTGCGTGAAATTTAACATAAACATTAGCATGTTTACACAATTAAGAGATAGAAATTAAATTGTGAGAGGCAGAAGGAACACACAAAACATTACGCGAAGGTAAAGAGGATTAAGGGGTAGATAGGGTGGAGTGTCCCACATGTGTGATTTTCAAACTTGTCCCAAGAGCTTGCACATGGTAGCTGGAGCAATTTCGAGCAAAGTGGCCTGCACGACCACACAGCTGGCAACCGAAATTAGGGGGCCAAGTGGTGGGTTTGGGTCCAAAATTGCGACGTCGATTTTGATTGCCACGATTGGAAGAGTTCTGCCCATTCTGATTGCCACGGAATGCTTGTGGAGGGTGGCGGCCAAGAGAGGAATGAGAGTTTCCTGCACTTAATGAAGAAGAGGAATCAGTATTGGAGTGAAAGGAAGCAATAGCATAATGAGCTGTCACCGGTGTGATCTCAAGATGAGCTTCTTCTCGTTTGAGACTTTCTTCATGAGCAACCAATCTATCATGCAAGTCATCAAAGGAAAGAGAGGAGTCCCGTGCTCGGAGAGAAGCTGCAATCTCCCGAAACTCAAGGCCAAGGCCATTAAGAATATAAACTGTAAGATCATCATCGTTGAGTGGACGATCAATGGTTCCCAATTCATCATCAACAGTCTTGAGATCTCTTAAATAATTTGCAACAGACCGGCCATCACGTCTCATGTTTTGGAGACGTTTCTTTAAAGTGATCACCCGACTTTGAGAGCGATTAGCATAAAGACTCGCTAATGTTTCCCATGCCTGTTGTGCTGTGGCAGCAGCCGCAATATAAGGGGTAATGTTCTCCGAGACTGAGGTGATAAGAGCATGTTGCAAGAGTTGATCTTGACGAGCCCATAAGCTGTACTCTGGTGCGGTTGCAACTGGACAGGGGTTCTTTCCATCAAGGTAGCCATTGAGTTCATAACCTGTAAGCAAACAAGTAAATTGAGCCCTCCAAGACATATAATTGGTTAGCGTTAGCTTTACAGGGAATGCGGCGAAATTGAAAGATAATGGATTTCTAGTGAGAGTCCAGGATTGAGAATAGTTGCAGTAGAGTTTGGGGAGGTTTTGGATGCAGCAGAGTTGGGGGATTCATTGGAAGTGGCCATGATCAAGACTCGTGAGAGCAGTAGAGGCTCTGATACCACTGAAAGGTTATAGATTGAAGCAAACGAAGCTATATTATTATTGCTGTCTTATGAAGAATATATACAGAGGTATCAACGTAGAATCCTAACTAGTATGGAAGCTAAATATATGATACACAGAATCCTAGCTGGTATGGAAACTAAATATGTGATACAGTATAATAAACATATAGATTACAGATTGAATGAATCCTAA